GACAATGTCAGCAGTGACGTAGTGAACCGAGATGGCGCCCCTTCATGTGAGGCGAGCCACGCATCCAGCGACGATGAAGCGATCAAGGAAGCGGAGGCCACACTCGACGATCTCATAGGGAGTATTCCAACACAGATCGGTCGGTTCATCGATGATAACGACGGAGCATCTTACATTTTGTGGTGGAATCAGTTGGCAACCAACGTGTGTATTGCAATGCGGAAGTTCCGCGAAAAGGTTGGCGGGTGGCCGTGGAACACCATGAGCCTCCACTTCGCCACCGCCGCGTGTCACCGAGCGCGTTCCACTACTTCGCAAAGTGCCTACTCGCAAGCAAACGTCGGAGACACACGTCTTCCTCTATGTAATGTATTCGTGGATCCCCCACGGTGGACCAACGCGATTTGCGAGCAGCCGAACGCGATTGCCTAGCGTACCACACGCATGCGCTGCCCGTGTCCTCATTCGTTGCGCATGTGGCGATCCGGTTTGAGGAAGGAACTTGACGCAGAAGTTCGGGCGCTCAGGAGGGCAGCGCCAAGGCCGGGCAATTGGGCGACGCTGAAAAATTTGTGGGGCCTCAAGGAGTACTGCGGCATGCCGCGTTCCTTCGGCTTTGTGGCGGCGATGGCGCACGCCTGTCAGATGAGGGTCCTATGCTCGGAGAGTGCCGCCGACGGCGGATGGCTGATCGGCGGCAATGGCCGACAGCACCAGGACGTTTTGGGCCAGACAGACTTCCTTTACCGCCGTGGCAACGTGTTCGTCGCAGCTATTCCTTCAGTTCTGATCCGGAATGAGCACGCGTTCCGCCAACGTGGCATAACGAGGAACAGCGTTGCCGCGGAGGCCCTCGTGGGCGGGAAGAGCTTCCAGGCGTTCGCCAGAGAATTCATCGGGCGCAGCTACAGGACGCCAGCTCATTTCCAGATCCGGCACAAGCTTGGCAGACGGTTGCTGCCAAGCACGCCTAGGACTGTCGCCACGCGTTTCGAACAGCGACGGGAGCTGCTGAGGGGTTCGCTCCCCCGCGCGTCATCGCAGCGGTGATCAGTCCAGCTGGGCAGCGATGTTGCGCGGAACGGAGACCCCAAAGTCGAGCGAATATCACATTTCAGTCGATGTGGCTTCGGCGGCGCAGTGGAGGACAGTATCGAGCACTACGCCAATTGGTGTATTGTCTGCCACTTTCATCGCACATCGTGTCGGTTGGTGGCGGAATGGCTGCTGCCGCACTGGCTGGGCGCGCGGTCTTCAGGTCCAGGAAAACAACTTGGTATTCGGAGCGCTTGGCGCCTATGCTGTTTACGGCGCCTCAATCGTGGCCTGGGCCCATAGCGGGATACCAGGTTAAATTGCTCTACGAGCTCTGCAGCGAACGCTGAGGGACACGAGCTCTGCAGCAAGCGCTGAGGGAGGCCGCGGCCGGGCACCGCGGCGCAGATTGGCCGGTGTCGGCGGTGTGGGCATACTAGGCACTATTGCGCCGACGCGGAGCAACGCGACGCGGAGCAGCTCCATATCATTAGCACTCCCCCTTCCATTCCTTTCCTTGCTCCCCTCCCCTCCTCCCGCCCTCCCTAGTGCAGCGTGCCAAGACGCCGGCCTGCCGCTGACGCCGCTGCCGTTTTTTGAGACACGCTGGTTGTTGCGAGCGCCTGGGGTGGCACTCGTGCCGTGCTTGCGTGCCTTGTTCTTTCCTACGCGCTTTGGTCGGCACCGAGGCCGTCGCAGGCTGCGCTCGAACCGAGAGCGTCCACGGTGATCGTTAGAGCCGCCAGACCGACAGACAGATCGACGTGACGGGCGGCGACGAGGCGGCGACGGGTCGGCGAAGACAGCCACATAGTCGCCAGACCGATCGTCAGGCCCAGCCGACGGGCGGCGACGACGCGGCGACGGGGCGACGAGAGCGGCAGCTTAGCCGCCAGACCGACCGCCGGGCCCACACGAAGGGCTGCGACGAGGCTGCGACGGCGGCGACGTAGCCGCCAGACCGACCGTCAGGCCCAGCCGACGGGCGGCGACGAGGCGGCGACGGGTAGGCGAAAACGGCCAGTGATCTGGAACAGAGCCGCGACCGCGCGGTGCAGCCGCAACGGCTGCCCGGCGATCCGACATAATTATTCTGTTGCGTTTGCACTTTCCGCTCGCGTGTGACCGCCACGGGTGATTGGAGAGCGTTTCCAGCCATGCAGTACTGGCCTCAAGACGGGTACGCCGGAGGTCACCACCCACAACAGGAGGGGCTTGACGAAGCACGCTTCCAGCAAGCACGCCTCCTGTGTGACACAGAACGCCACGATGAAACACACCTGATGAAACACCCCCGTGATAAAGCACCCCCGTAATAACCATTCTCCGATGAAGAACTTCACGGTGAAGCCGGCCATGGCGGTGTTCCACCCCGCGATGTTGCACTCCACGATGCAGCGTTCCACGAAGCACGCTATGATGAATCACTCCACGATGACGCAGTCCACGCCGAAACACTCCTTGGTGACACATATCTTGGTGAAGCACTCTTTGGTGAAGCATTCTTTGGTGAAGCGTCCCTTGGAGAAACACTCCTGGGTGAAGCACTCTGGGGCAACCACTCCTTGGTGAAGCAATCAGTAAACGCACCTCCACGAAACGCGCTGCGAGGAAACATTTTTTCTTGTGACCCGCCACAAGGAGGCGCGCTTCCGATGAAACATTCCGCAATCAAGCACTGCCGAAGCAACCCTCCACGATGTAGCACTCCACGATGAAGCGCGCCACGACGATCAAGCACTCGATGAAGCCCTCCCCGATGAAGCCCGCCACGACGATACACGCACGCACTTGGCACGCCTTAATGAAGCACGCCTCCGTGAATCACGCCGAAATGGCGCACGCCCAAATATCGTACCCAACATCGAAGCACCCCCCACGAAGCTCGCCACGATAAGGCGCTTCACGATGAGTCACTCCAAGATGAAACACTCAACGAAGCACTCCCCGATGAAACGACCCTTGATGAAATGCTCCACGATGGTGCCCAACCCGGAGAATCACAAACGTATGACACATAGCGTTGGAATCCAGCTGGAGTTTGCGAGACTGCACGAGGATGATTACACATGCTGCTGGCACATTGGCACCAAATTGAAAGGCCGAGCTCATTGACTGCCTGGTGCCAATGCCGCCACCAGCGTACGAGAGACATCTGAAGCCCATCCAGCAGAGGTGATTCTCCACCCAACAGTGTTCGGCGCGATGAGTCCGCACCTCGTGGAAGGAAGAAGCGCTACTAGACAAAGGTAGTCGCGGGAACCCTGCCCTAATTCCGCCGTTGCAGTGACGCCAGCACTAACCGTGGATAGCGATTATTGCGATCTTTTAGGTGTAGTAGATGGTGATGATGGTGATTGCGATGATGATTGTGGTGATGGTGCCGGAGATTGTGATGGTGATCTTGGTGGCGATGGTGGTGGTTATGATGATTTGTATGGTGATGACGATGACGGTGATGATGTTGATCATGATCACGATGGAGATGATGGTGATGATGGTGGCGATGCCGATGACGATGACTATGACGATGATGATGTTGATGATGATGCTGATGCTGATGATGCTGATGCTGATGATGACGATCAGATTGATGCTAATGATGATGACGACGACGATCCTGATGATGGTGATGGTGATGGTGAGTGTGATAATGAGTAGTATGGTTTTGCTGATGATGGCGGTGGTGGTGGTGATGATGATGACGTTGCTGCTGATGATGCGTTGATGATGCTCTGATGATAATGATGATGGCGGTGGTGACGATGATGATAACGGGTGAAAATGATGTTGATAATGCGGACGAGGGCGAGGATGAGGATGATGATGATGAGGATGATGATGATGATGATGATGACGCAGATGATGACGCTGATGATGACGCTGATGATGATGATGCTGATGATGATGCTGCTGCTGCTGATGATGATGATTATGATGATGATGATGATGAGACGGAGGAGGAGGGGGGGCGAGGGCGAGGATGAGAATGATGATGATGATGCTGCTGCTGATGATGGTGATGATGATGATGATGATGAGGATGAGGAGCAGGAGGAGGAGGACGAGGAGGAGGAGGAGGAGGAGGAGGAGGGGGAGGAGGGGGAGGAGGGGTGGTAGGAGAAAGAGAAGGAGGGGAGGAGGAGGATAAGGAGCAAGGAGGAGGCGGAGGAGGAGGGGGAGGAGTAGGACCCACTTCCTTCTCCTGCCCCCCCCCTTTCGCCCAGGCCCAGTCGGTGCGAGCTGGGCGAGTTCCCATGCCTCCCGGCCTCAGGCGGGCACAACGCGTGCGGGCGGCGCGCGGGAGAGAGGGGGGCGGTGTCTACGGCTCTGGCGGCCTCTTATCGGGCCGCGCGTTCGGGGAGAGGAGGGAGGAGAAGGGCGAGGGAAGGAGGAATGACGAAGAAGGGAAGGAGGACGGAGGAGGCAGATGGTGGAGGATGGGCAGGAGGACGATGCGGGACGTGGAGGAGGAGGAAGGCGAGGAGGACGGAGGGCGAAGACGGAGGAGGAGGACGGCGAACGAGGAGGATGAGGAACAGGTGGAGGAGGAGGCGGAGGCCGAGGAGGAGGACGGCGGACGAGGAGGATGGGGAGGAGGAGGGGGAGGAGGAGGAGGAGGAGGAGGAATCGGAATCGGAATCGGAATCGGAACAGACGCGAAGCGTCATGGAGGAGGAAGAGGAGGAGGAGGAGGATGAGGAGGAGGGAGAGCAGGCGGAGGAGGGGGATGAGGAGGAGGAGGAGGATGATGGTGAGGAGGAGGAGGAGGAGGAGAAGGAGGAGGAGGATGAAGAGGAGGAGAAGGAGGAGGATGGTGAGGAGGAGGAGGAGGCGTGAGAGGCGCAGGAGTGGAAGTGAATGATTTGCCTATGTTTGTACCCCCTCTCCCCCGGGTGCGCGCTGCACCACCTCTCGGCGACGGCATGTTACGTCTTAATAGCCGATGTGTGCGCGGGATGTCAACTCCCAGTAGTTGGGGGAATGCATTTTTGTCCGCACCGCCCCTCGGAGGTGTAGGACCCCAATGGAAGTTCAGCTGTGTGCCGCTCTGGAGCCCTTTGTTTGGTGACGTTAGCCCCTGTCTGTGGTGATCAGGTTCCTCCTAAGTTGTCGTGCCCGACGCCACCGACTGCCTCCCACCACCGACTCCAGCGCAGGACTGGGCTCGTTCAACTGGTCTGGGATCGGTCTTTGGATACCATTGGGGGGGGAAGGCGTCATGTCGCACTGATGAGGCTTGGCCGCTGCCGCGATCGCTGCCTCGTGTTTCCTGTTTGTCGTCCTGCCGCCGCTGCTCTATCTCACAATCGTTAAGGAGTCAGACTCATCCCTTAGTGACCGATTGACCGACCGAGGAGGAGGCGGAGGAGGGGGAGGAGGAGGAGATTGGGGGTATTGCTGAGGATGATAAAATGGTGCGGTGACCGACAACGTCAGGCGGATCACTGGTGATTCGGCGTCTCCGCTCTCCGACGGCGTCCCGGCTGACTTGGTAACCTGAGGCGCCTGAGGTCGCGAACAGCGGCGCGTTGGTGGACCGTGCGATTAAGTAGTATTGGGAGATCTCGAGGTCACCGCGCTTCTTCGTCATCATGGCCATGATGATGATGACGATGATGATGATGCTGATGATAATGATCACCATCATCATCATCATCATCATCATCATCATCATCATCATCATCGTCAGCAGCAACAGCACCATCGTTGGCATCACCACCATTCCATCACCATCGCCACCACCACCACCATCATTACCGCCACCATTACCATCACCATCACCATCAATATCACCTTCATCATCACATCATCATCATCAGCAGCAGCATCATCAGCGGCATCATCATCATCATCATCATCATCATCAGCATCATCATCATCATCATCATCATCATCATCATCATCATCATCATCAGCATCATGATCAGTATCATCATCAGCATCGTTACCACAAACATCATCGTTACCATCATCATCACCGCCCGTATCGTTCTCACCGATCACTAACATCACCTCCATCACCACAATCCCATAATCACCAGCACAATCCGTATCATCAGCATCAGTATCATACTCATCACCACATGCATCAACATGATCCGTATCATTTTCAGCATCTGCATCATCATCATCACCACCATCCGAGGCAGCGGCCTTGGGCCTCCCTCTGGAGTGTCTCGTCGCCACGGCTGGGTCCGCCTCGAACATCGGTGTAGTGTGGATGTTCGGTTGTCCGGTTTTCAGCACAACGGTTTCGTGACATTGCCCGTGCCTCGTGATGGGTGCTCCACGATCGCCCGTGGGTGAGTTCCGAGATGATTCATGAATGATCGACATGGGCACGGAAGGATTGGGTACGGACGAAGAGCCGCAGCAGTTCTTGCCCGTGTTGAGCATGTTTCGCTGTCGGTGTCGTTGCGGACGTGGTCCATTCGGAACGACAGGGCGCCTGCTAGCAGCGGCCGATGTCGCTTGTGAGCACCATGTGCTGTTCGGCAGAGTGCCACTTTTCCTTGCCCGTGCCGCGCATCTCAAGGCACACGGACCAGGATAGCCCCAGAAGGGGTCCAGGGACGGATTTTCATCGGATTCCTTGCCCGGGCGGGAGAGCCGCCCTTGTCTCAAGTGTCCCTCCTCCGAGGCAGGCCCAGGGGGAAGATCAGCCGTTCCAGGGCGTTCCGCTCTCAGAGTGTTCCGGGGCGCTCCCGCACAGGACCGCGGCGTCCGTCTCCTCCTCCAGGCCCGCCATGGCTCTCAGAGGCTCTCGCCTGCATCTAGAGCAGGATGTATCTCCATCCTGGAACGGAGGTGCATCCGGACATCATAATCCGGGATCTTGTGAGACGAATGCAGGATACCCTTCCCTGAAATTTCGATGCGATCACCGATTTCCCAAGATCTTGGACGACGATTGGCAGGGCTTGGCCGTGGGCCAATGGCAGTGGTCGGAGTCTCAATGAGCGCTGGGCGGAGTCTCTAAGAATTGTGTGGCCGACTCGACGGCTTGCCTTGCCTGCGTTCGGGTTTCCATAAGCCGCAGGGTAAGCAGACTTACGAACGAGCGAACGTCGTCGCGAGTCGTGTGTCGTAGCACAGTCAACCCACATAGTAAGGATGAACACTTTTCCAGGGTTGCCCTTGCATCCTTTCCCTTCGGCCCATCCTTGGTCGCTTTCGCTGGCCGCGCCCCGCCCGCAGAGCGTCAACACGGCCTTCCAAGGCCCTTGCATCCCTACTGCGCGTCCTTTCTATACGGGTTGACTGTATAGCAGTCGCTCGTCGTTGGTCGTCGTCGTCGTCGGCCCAAGTCGTCGGGCGAAGAGAACTATGCACATGCACCGATCCTGGCAAGGCCCATCCTTGACCCAGGATCGGTGCATATGCCTTCCTGGCCAAGGTAGCAGGGCGTATGCACCGATCCTGGGCCCAGGATGGGTCTGGCCAGACTCGGTGCATGTGCACAGCTCTTCTCCCTCCCAGTCGCGGGCCCTCGCTCCGCGCACGTCCCCGTCTCCCGCCGTCTCGCGCCCGCGGCCGTGGCCGCGGCCGCGCTCGCCCTCGCACGCCCCCGCACCGAGGCCGCCGCCGCCCCCGTTGAGCCTGGGGGCGCCGCCGCCGTCCTCCCCCATGACCCCCTCGCGTTGTGAAGCAAGTCCCGCGATTTGCAAGTCGGGCATGGGATTTTCAAAAACAATCGTCTGGGGACGATCTGTCTATTATTTTTGTTATCATTCGGGGGTGCTTTTTTATAACTGTTTTTTATGTCTCGTCCAGAATCCGCCTGCAGGGGGCCACGCCCGACCTGACGCTGCTTCGGCCTCCGGGGGCCTGGGCCTCGGGACTGCAAAGCAAACTATTCGGGACGAGAAGCCGGTCCCGGGGCAAGGGGTCCGGACCTCTGGGGGTCGACGTGGCAAGGAATCACGGCGCCGGGGGGTTGGGGTCTGGGTCCCTCGTGCCCGCCGCGGGCCGCCACCGGCGCGGCGCAGCCGCGCAGCTAGCGGTGTGCGTCCTCGCCTCAGCTCCGTACGGTCGCAATGCGTACGGAGCTGATGGATGCAGTCGGCCGCCGTGTCCTGTCACATTGGACCTCTCGTGCTGATCTCACATTCAAGCTGGGCATGTCCCTCTACAGGAGGTATAATTCAGAAATAGTCAAACATAGTATGGGAACGATTTCTCTGTCAGGTTCGATTATTTTTGAGTATGCTGCGACTTTTCTTTTTTATGGTTCGTCCAAAATCCGCCTGTAGGAGGACGTGCCCGACCAGAATCTATCATATGTTTGTTCCGTCGCCGGGTGCACCTGTCCCAGGGCGGCTGAAAAGTTTACACCCTGACGTGCCACCGTAGGTCAAGGCCTCCCAGACGGGGTCGGAGTAAACGTGGTCGGAGGACCGCGCCGCACCGGCGATGCATCGACGATGCGGCTCGATGTGGAGCCCGATTTGCTTCACGTCGACGTCGCCGATGCAGCGCCGACGTCGACGATGCTTCGCCAGTGCATGCCCAAAGCATCGCCGATGCATTGGCGGTGCGGCGCGATCCTCCGACCCCATCTGCTCCGGCCCCAGCCAGGAGGCCTCCCGGCAGGGGTGCAGAACTCCCCAGCCGCCCCGGGACGGGCGCGCCCGACGGCGAGAGAGCGCTTCTGCCTCGCACGCCCCTCCCTCGCCCGCTGAGAGAGAGACCTTCGGCCGCGCGCGGGCCGCCGCTGGCCCCCGGCGCCCCTCCCGCGGCCGAGGGCTCTGCCTGGAGCGGGTGCACTACGCGGCCGAGGACGACTTCTGAGAGGGGGGCGGGTCCGTAAGCCGTAAGCAGACTCTTCACCAGTTTGCTGCTCTCCTCGCCCCCCGAAAACGCGAGGCCTCATTCCATCAGCTAGAGCTCGACGAGAGCCTCACGACGGCGGCGCTGCTGCGCCGATCGGCCTTCTGTGGGCCGCGTTCAGGCTCCGGAGCCGAGTCGACAGAATGAGGGGAACGAAAAGTGGCATAAATATAAAAATTCGGAGGTCCGCGCGGATTTCTCGGATCGGCGCTGGACCCCCCTCCCTGGCGCGCGGAGCGCACCAGGGGCGGCGCCGGAGGCGCCGCCAGGGGGCCCCAGCGCCGATCCGAGCAATCCGCGCGGACCTCCGAGTCTTTCTGTTTATGCCCATTTTTGTTCCCCCAAGAAGTGGTGAGGGATGCGAGCCATCACCCGCAGGCAGGGTCCCCCCCCGCGCGCGGCCGCGGCCCGCCGCGCCGCGGGGCGCCTCCTGCGGGGCGCCGCACGCCGCCCCGCGGCAAAGGGGGCGCGGGCCTTCCCTCGAGGCGGGCCCCGTCCCGCTCCAGGCGGAGTTTGTCGGAGGCTGATAGTCAGAGCGTGAATTACCTCCCCCGCTTTCGCTTCCAGGCAAAACCAAGCCATACCACGCGCCTCCTCGTCAAGCGGCCTGACCAGTACAGGCCGCAATTTGGCACTGTTTGGTGTCTCTTGGAAGCGAGGGTGGTCAAAAGCGAGGTAGGTTTGTTTTCCCCCGGGATAGACCTCCTACCCTGACACGTCGATTAGTGAATTGGCCGTTCTCGGTTCGCGAGAGGGCGTCGCGGCCGTTATTCTTGCGGGTCCAGATCCGTCGGTTTTGGTCCTAGGCCGTTTTCATTAAGGGGAGGTTTCCTTAAGGGAGGTTTGTCCACCGCCGAGTTTGGACGAAGAGTTCAGAAAAAATCCCAAGAAAAGGTTAAACACATGAAAGGTAATCCCACAATCGACCCCAGGACATTTTCTTGACTATTCTGGGGGCGATGTTTCTATGACCTGTGAACTTGTGTGAGTATTGTTTGGCTCTTGTAAATGTTTCGCCCGAAATCCGTCTGTAGGGGGACATGCCCGACCTACTCTCAGAGGGCCGCCCCCCCGGGGGCGGACATCGGCGCTTGCTCTTGCTCCTGCTCTCCCTCTACAGTCCGGCCGCCGAAAAAGGAACCCTTCTCGCTGGGGAGGGGTCATGTGTTCCTTCACAGTGCTTGACAGCTTGTCTCAGGTTGTGCTTCGGTGTTCTGTGGGGAATCGAATCTTCACCCAGGCGGCGCTTCCGGCGCCGCCGTGGCGCGCTCCGCACGCCAGGAAAAGGGGGCCCAGCGCGGATCCAAGAAGTCCGCGCGGAGCGCCAAGAGTTTATGTTTCTGACGTGTTTTTGCTTGTGCTCTGTTTCCACTCTGGAGAACAGGGGGCCTCGCCCCTTTACCCTGGGTTCCTGAGGACAGCGTCTCGACCGTATCTTTACGTCGGGCCTGCCCCCTACAGGGGGATTTTCGACGAAAAATAAAAAACGCCATACATATATATATATATATATATATATACATAATAGTCAAAAAATAGTCGGGGAGTAGTTTTTGAGTTTTTTGTTTGCCTTTTGGGGCATTTGAGTATTTTTTGTTTTCGAACATCCCCCTGTAGGGGGACACGCCCGACATGACCGTATCTCTCTCCCCCGAGGGTGCGAGGGGCGAGAGGCGGTGGGGCGGGAGGGGGCGCGCCCCTGGGGGGCAACGAGAGGGGGCGCGGGCCTGCTCAGCAGGCGGCGGGGCTTCCCAGCAGCCCTCCGGCCTTCCGGGGGGGCCGATTGCGTCTTCGGGCCCAGACCCCCTCGAGGTGTGAGCAAGAGCACGGCGGGAGCTCTGTCGCGGTGTTCTGTCTGCCCTTGTGGGGGCCTTCGCCGGCCCTCGGGACTGTCAAGAAACGACTCGGGATGAAAAACCGGTCCCAGGGAATGGTTCGTGACCTCGGCGGGTCGATGTCATGAAAGACCATGACGTCGGGGGTCTGGGGAGACGGATCTCAGAGCCCCGAATCATCGGGGCTGCAGATTCGCGCCTCGGGGGCCCAGAGCGTAGTTACCCTGGACCGCGGCTATCCCGGATATTTCGAGCGTCCAACCCTCCCGAATCATCGGGGCTGGGGGCAGTCCGGGGTAGCTGCGGTTTCGTGCCTCGTATACCTAAATCGGAGGTGCCTCGGACCGCAGCTGTCTCGGATAACTCGGGCGTCCAAGGCACGGCAAACCTTTCAGAAAGCTTGAGGCCGTCCGAGCCTCCTAAGGAGACCCGCCCCCTCTAGCTTTTCCCCCCTCACTGGCAAAGAGAGGCGAAGAGGGCGCGGTGGACCGTGGGGGGGTTGCGCGTCCGCGTCGGTCGAAGGAGGGAGACTGGTACATACACATGGCGGGTATCACTTCGATCCCACCGATTTGGTCCGATGTCGATCACGGCCGGCACCGGTCCGATGTGTCCGGTTGTGACAGTTCCGACGATCCGGCGTTGCCCGATGCCCTGCACTGCACGGCGCTGCAGTGCGTCCTGGCGCGGCCGATCCGATGCGGTTTGGGCTCCGCGTCTGCGCGGCCAGATATCTGGCGCGCATTTCCGGACCAGGCTGGGACGAGGATAAATCCTTTCCAGAGCGTTCGAGGACGCCCTCAGAGCGTTCCGGTCCAGAACGCTCTGAGCAGGCCGCAGCGGCGCCCCAGACATCCTCCAGATCCGCTGGATCTCAGAGATTCTGGACTCATCCCCACCCGATTGTATCCCTTTCCTTGTTGCGTCTTGCATGTTCATTCCATCCGATTTCCGGGATCGGTGCTGACTGATCCTGCACATAGCATTGCGGAGAACCACGCCTCGGCGGCGCCTCCGGCGCCGCCCTTGGCACACACATTGCGCGCCAGAAGAGGGGTGTGCGCCGTCGATCCAATAAGCCAGAGGAGAAAACCCTCGGACCCCATATTGGATGTAAAGCAAAGTTCTGCCGTGCCCTGTTCGATACCTTCCGGTGGCGCGCTTCCTAGACTTAGGTCGGGCCTGTCCCCCTACAGGCGGATTTTGGAGGAAAACTAGAGAATATTTCAAAAAGATTCAAAATCATCAAACATAGTTGAATCATCGTCCCCTTTTTACCTAACATCGAAGACTGATAGGTTTCTAGTAGTGTCAAAAGAGGTCACAGATCACTCCACAGGGGGGTCCGGGCAGGTGTTGGGAGTTGCCGGGCGGGCCTGTGCCGAACTCGTTTTTCACCAACAGTCACACACTTCGTGCTCTTCGACTTCCCAGAACTCCATTCCCAGGCTCATTCTGAATAACCGGATGCAACAGTCACACACTTCGTGCTCTTCGAGATCCCAGAACGCCATTCCCGGGCCACATTCTGGAGGGCCGGATGCAACAGTCACACACTTCGTGCTTTTCGAGTTCCCAGAACTCCATTCCCGGGCCCCATTCTGGAGGGCCGGATGCAACAGTCACACACTTCGTGCTCTTCGAGTTCCCAGAATTCCATTCCCGGGCCACATTTTGGATGCCCGAAGCCAACTGTAGGCCACTTCCTGGTCTTCGAGTTCCCAGAACTCCATTCCCGGGCCTTTTTTTGAATAGCCAGACGCAACAGTCATACAATTCTTCGTACTTGACACCCCAGAACCTTATTCTGGGCCACGTTCTGAGTAACGGGATGCAACAGAAATGCATTTCGAGCTCTTTGGCTTCCCAGAACTTCATTTCCAGGCCACATTCGGAATAACAGCATGCAAGAGTCAAACACTTCGTGTCCGAGACCTCGCAGAACGCCACTCCCAGGCTACATTTGGAAAAATTGCACACAACAGGTATACACGCCGGGTTATCTGGCTGTCTGGAACGGCAATCCCGGGATACATTCAGAGTAATCCCGCGCGACAGTTACACACTTTGTGCTTTGTAACCTCTCAGAGCTTCATATCTGGCCGACACTCCTGGGCAACACTCGTTCTCACACTATCATGCAACACTCATACACAGTGTCCTTGTCGTCTTGTCACATCTCAACTTTCAATTCCTTGACACAACCGTCACACACACTGATTTCTTTGAGTTTTCACTAGGTTAGTCTCGGGTCACATGTCATATTCCTTCCGCGACAGCCGTGTTTGGTTCAGGACTTGCTAGTGACACTGCAGTCCATTGCACTCAACGTGCCTCGTCACTAGAGTTTCGATTGCAATGGCGTTCCCCTGGCCGTACCGCTATATGGAGCGTTCATCCGCAGCCTCTGCTCCGCGAGGCTCGTCCGAAGTGTCGCCGCCTCGCGGTGCTTCTCAGCCTGCGGAGGAAGGTCGACAGACGCCTGGTCCTGGCGCTCTGCAGCCTGCGTCTTTCACGGTCGCCTCGTTCAATTTCGGGTTCGAGCAGGGCATGATGACTGGTAAGCAGGCGGCCACTCACTGCGCTAACTTCGGAAGGGTGTGCGCCACGATAGTGGAGACCGCTGATGCTGATATTGTCTGTGCATGCGAGGTCGGTGCGTTCCGTGAAGGCTTTCGCCGAGCAGGGATCAACGTGACAGAGATCCTCAGTAAGCCTTTCGGTGATGGCATTGGCTTCTCGGAGGTCGACAACTACTTGACTCTCTGGGGCTTCCGCGGTGCTTCTCAGCCTGCGGAAGTGACTCCGTGCGAAGACAGCCAAGTTTACAGGCCTCCTAGCGGGCGAGAGATTGATGCTGTTATTTCACATTTTCAGGTGAACAAACCAGGCCATGACAAGTTCTACGTGGTGATCGCCAACACGCACATCGTGTGCGGCAAGAAACCGCCGACCATTCAGATTCGAAAGCGGACAGTTCGCCATCTCCGCCTGCACCTGGACGGCATCGCTCAGATTCTCAATGCTTCGGAGCCGCACGTGCCAGTTGTTCTGCTTGTAGTCGGCGACGACAACCTGACTTTCCAGGAGGCGCGGGAGGCTTACCAGCGCCAGCAGAACGACGAGAAGCTCTGGGAGGTCCTTGCCACTCCGGCCGACCTCAAAGGCGACCACGTCGCGGTCTGCGGAGCAGTCGCCCGTTTCTGCTCCATTGCCGTTGGCGCGTCTTTTACGGATCGTGGCATGCGCAACGACGCACGCGATGCCGTGGCGGTTGTGCTCACTCTCCCTGGTGCTTCTCAGCCTGGGGAGAGCAAGAGGCGGAAGATTGTCGTCGAAAACGTCTCCGACGCCGACGTCAGCGTACAGGCGGACGCCGAGTCTTCTGTGCACTGGGATCGGTCGCCGAGCCCTACTCCTCCGCTTTCACCGACTTCACCGGCTGATCCCGACTACGTCGAGGATGTCGTTCGAACTCGCGCGAACGACTTTCACTGGGAGCTGAGGCAGTTTTGGGACGAAAGGTACGACGAGGAGTACGATCCGAAAGTCCTCTTTCATCTCAGTCTCTTGCTTTTCAACAAGAGGAAGTCCACGGAGCTAGCGGACACTGATCCAGCTGGCGCTCCTCAGCCTGGCTCGGCATATGACGCGGCCTTTGCGTCTCAGGAGGAGACTGGCCGAGCCATTCTCTCTGTCCTTCAGCTTCGACATGACTTTCTGCGGAGCAAGAACATCGACGACATGCGCTACGTTCTCACGGAGCCTGAGCGCCAGGAATTGGTCAGAGTAGCTCGCGACCAGTACGAGCAGTCGCGGCAGCAGCGTGCGCTTCAGGAACGGGATGTCGAAAAGGGAAAAGCGAGAGGCAAGTCTGCGCCACAAGGGGGCCATGCGGTTCCGCAGGGTCCTAACAAAGGGCCAGGCGGTAAGAAAGGTTCTCACGGTGCTTCTCAGCCTGCGGGAAAAGGTGGCCAGGCCAAGGGTGCAGGTCTGGGTAGCGTCGCCAAGTTTGTGAAAGACCAGAAGCGTAAGCGGTGGCATCGCCATTTGCAACGTGTGGCCGGCACCAAACAGATCTGGGAGGTGCTGGCCTTCTCAGGGCGCTTCGACGTTGATTGGCTAACGCAAGCGTTGCAAGCTGATCACAGTGAGGGCCGTGATACAGCAGCTCCCGAGGAAGCTCTGCGGGAACAGCGGCGCCGTCTGCACCGCCAGAAGGCCGAAGCCATCGCGCGCTACAACGAGGGGGAGCGGCTTTCCCGCCATCGCGAAGAGGTCCGTCGTGTCGGCGCTC